TAAGCTTATGCTCTAATAAATTTGTTAGTCTCTAAGGTGCCACAAGTACTCCTGTTCTCTTTTTGCGGATACAGACTAACACGGCTGCTACTCTGAGACTTTAACGAGAAACTGCAGAACTGGAACTAATTTGCAAACTTGACACTATCAAATTAGGCCTGAATAAAGACTGGGAATGGCTGGGTCACTACAAAAAGTAATTTTCCCTCTGTTGATACTCACACCTTCTTGTCAACTGTTGGGGATAGGCCACATCCACCCTGATTGAATTGGCCTCATTAGCACTGACTCCCCACTTGGTAAGGCAACTCCCATCTTTTCATGTGCTGTATATTTATACCTGCCTATTTATTTTTCACTCCATGCATCTGATGAAGTGGGTTATAGCCCACGAAAGCTTATGCCCAAATACATTTGTTAGTCTCTAATGGTATGTCTACACTATGAAATTAGGTTGATTTTATACAGTCAATTCCGTATGTCCACACTAAGCACATTAAGTCGGCGGAGTACATCCTCACTACCGTGGCTAGCATCGACTTACGGAGCGGTACACTGTGGGTAGCTATCCCACAGTTCCTGCAGTCTCCGCCACCCATTGGAATTCTGGGTTAAGCTCCCAATGCCTGATGGGGCAAAAACATTGTTGCAGGTGGTTTTGGGTACATGTCATCAGTCGACCCTCCCTCCGTGAAAGCAACGGCAGAATCGTTTCGCGCCTTTTTTCCTGGGTTACCCATGCAGACGCCATACCACAGCAAGCATGAGCAAGTGCAGAATGATGGTAGAATGTGCCTTTGGACGTTTAAAAGCTCACTGGTGCTGTTGGTCAGACTTCAGCGCAACCAACATTCCCATTGTTATTGCTGCTTGCTGTGTGCTCCATAATATCTGTGAGTGGAAGGGGGAGACGTTTATGGTGGGGTGGGAGGTAGTGGCAAATTGCCTGGTGTCCGATTTTGAGCAGCCAGACACCAGGGCGATTAGAAGAGCACAGCAAGGCGTGCTGCGCATCAGAGAGGCTTTGAAAACCAGTTTCATGACTGGCCAGGCTTCGGTGTGACAGTTGTGTGTGTTTCTCCTTGATGCAAACCCACCCCCTTGGTTGATTTTATTTCCTTGTAAGCCAACCACCCTCCACCCTTTGAAATAAAGTAACTATTGTTTTGAAACCATGCATTCTTTCATTATTAATTAAAAAAAAATGAGATAACGGACAAGGTAGACCGGGTGGGGTGTTGGAGGAGGGGAGGACAAGGCCACATTGATTTTTAGCGTGGCTACAATAAGCAAACTGTTTGAATGACAGCCTTCTGTTGCTTGGGCCATCCTCTGGAGTGGAGCGGCTGGGTGCCCGGAGCCCTGCCCCCCCGTCCCTCCTCACGTTCTTGGACATCTGGGTGAGGAGGCTATGGAACGTGAGGAGGAGGGTAGGCGGTTATACAGTGGATGCAGCGGGGGTCTGTGCTCTTGTTGGCTTTCCTGCAGCTCCAACAGACGGTTCATCATGTCCTTTTGCTCCCCCAACAGACGCTTCATCATGTCCATTTGCTCCCCCATTAGCTTCAGCATCGCATCCTGCCTCCGCTCTTCGTGCTCATTTCATTCATTCCTGGCCTCTGCCATTGAATGCCTCCAGGCATTAAGCTGTGCCCTATCAGTGCGGGAGGACTGGATGAACTCAGAAAACATGTAATTGCGAGTGCAGTTTTTTCGCCTTCTAATCTGTGATAACCTCAGGGACGGAGATGATAGGGGGAGCTTAGAAACATTCTACACTCTACGATTCTGGGAGGACTGCATGGTCACCTGTGCTTCTGAGTTCGCCACGCTGACCAAACAGGAAATGAAATTCAAAAAGTTCCCGGGGCTTTTCCTGTGTACTGGCTAGTGCATCGGAGTTCAAAGTGCTGTCCAGAGCGGTCACAATGCAGCACTATGGGATAGCTCCCGGAGGCCAATACTGTAGATTTGCGTCCGCACTACCCCAAATTCGACCCAGCAAGGTCGATTTTAGCGCTACTCCCCTTGCCGGGGAGGAGTACAGAAGTTGGTTTTAAGAGCCTTTATGTCGACGGAATGGGGTTGCTCGTGTAGACGCATTCATTATAAAATCAACCTAACGCAGCTAAATTCGACCTAACCCTGTAGTGTAGACCAGGGCTTAGGTGCCCCAAGGACTCCTCGTTGTTTCTACAAGAGTTATCCATATATATGTCAATAGTTAGTTACTAGATACGTGCACCTCTTCATTACTAACTCAACCATCAGTCCCTCAGTTATTAATCATTTCATGCAACACAGTGCAGAATGTTTTTTATGTTCTGTTTGAGGGCCACATGGCACATAGTATACTAACTAAGCTTGCATATTAAACTGAAGATTTAGGTTCAAATTTTGACTCAGTTACAAGGAAATTCCCTTTCTCTTCATAGACAAAAAGCCACCTCTCAGTCACCACATAATTGATAACCTATGCCTTTTCTGTTGCATCTGGCATATGCCATCATCAGAGCAATATTGTAGTTGGCAGCAGGATAAAGTCTAGGAAAGTCAAAAAGAGAAGGCCAAGGAGAAGCTTAAAATGGTTTCTTACCCCAAGATATCGGCTATCATTGAAGATTCGAGGGGGCAATGGGTTTCCACTCGCTGGTCGGCTCTCTTCCGGGACATTCTCTCTCATCCATTTCCGGTTCTCCTCATTGGCTGCAATATCTTTTTCTTCAAATTCAATCTTGTTGACTTCCAAGAAGCCTAACACATCTTGCTGCTGTTTTTTGATCTACAATAAAAGATGTGCGAAGGGAGAGAGGGAAATAAACCAGTCAGTGATCAAATAGAAGCTCAAAGGCAGAGCAATCTATCTGTGCAAGTCCAAGGGTGCAGGTCACTCAGCGCTGTTACAAATTCTCTCTCTAGGCCTGGTTACTGCCTTTAAGAGAAATAGTCCATTGTACATCTCTCACTCCCCCTTAATATTCTTTTTGGTGTACATTAGTACAAAGTGCCACAATGACAACCCAGGAGACCAGATCCTGCACAGAAAAGGTAAAATGTGGGTAACTGCTACTCAAACATTCCCTAGTGCCCAGCATGGTGCTGCAAGCCCTGTAGTAGAGGGACAACTTCTAGTGGAGGCAGAGCAGTTTAGTCTCTATGTCCACTGAATCTGCAACTCCTCTGATGAGGCTGCCTATTAGTGTTCCAAATGTGATGGTAACTTGTGTATTGTGGACACCTGCCCTTTAGGAAGAACGCTGAGACTTCTCTCCACTCACCAAACCATTTCACATACAGCAGTGAGTGGTCATCAGACCCCCCCACTGAGCCCCACTCACCTTCACCTGGATCCCCTGCAGAGTCCTATTGCCCCTGCACCCGGAACCCCACAACGAACTCCTGTGCATCCACATCTACCACTGAGCCACCCGCACCCAGACTGCCCCACACAGAAACCTCTCACCCCACACTAAGCCCCTCCACACTTGGATCCTGCTGAGCTGAGCCTGCCTGCCCACACCTGATGCAGAGGCAGGGCCCCCCGGGTGTTTCTGGGGTAGGCCCAGCCCTTGCACTGTGTCAGGGTCGGGTGCAGCCTTCCCGCCGAGTTCCTGTACCGGGAGGATGTGGGGGAGTTAGGGTGATCTCCCACCTCAATGCAGCCAGTGGCCTGTGCTCCCACTGCTATGCTGGAGCCACATTTATTGATAAATAAAATTTGAAGAATTTTAAAATATTGTGCGTATAATTTTTTCTTTTTGGCGCAGAATTCCCTCAGGAGTAAATGGTGCATGTGTGCAGCCCACTGCTATATCTGTAGGCACAGGTATGTCACACCCATCCTTCAAAAGCAGGTATCATTTGAATTTCCTCTTAATTCCCTTGAAAATGGAGCCCTACAAAATTGTAACCTATTGTTTCTAACACTTCAGGGATTACAGACAGAAATCAATAGTCCCTCAGAGAAATCAAATATTGTCCAAAGAAGAGCTGAATCCAAATGCTAGATATTTGTATTGTATTCAACACACGTGTGTTTGAGTCAACATGAAGGATTACTGGAGTGTAAATCAAACAAGGCTTTCAAAGGGCCACAAGCTCAGAAAATTCAAAACCCATTTTTCTTCTGTACTTCAAAAGTTGGAGACTCAAGATATACACCACATCATCACATAATGCAGAGCGATTTAACAATCATTGCCTATAGTGAAGAGTTGCTTCCCAGCAAGCCTGATTAAGCCCCTGGCCTGTTACACCAAGAGTTGAGTCTCTTTCAAAGAAATTACTCAGTTTGGCTCCCCATATGATTTACAAGACATATTTTAAAAGGCATTGTACATGTACACACGTGAGTATTCTAAACACAAACGGACAACCAAAATATTCCCTCTGGCTCTTGAGCTAGAAGAGATTCTTACTGTAAAAGATGTATGCACCAATATACCAAGGCATATTCTTAAATTAGGAGGAGGTTACACTGAGAATGACTTTTTTATTTCACATTTTAGTCAATTATATCTGTTCAAAGACAAAGGGAGGTCAGTGGTCTTGCGGAGACCATACCTATATGTCTAACCATTATCCAGGTAGCTGTAGTTTATTAACTACAGTTAAGTTTGATGGAGAAAGTAGTTCATGGTGCAAGCCTCTGACTTAAAATACGTACACCCATGGGAATCATAGGTTCAAGTTCCAGAAGGACTGACTCAGTCTTTCATCCTTCTGAAACAGACAAACTGAGGGCCATACAGCTTACTATGTGTGGATCTTTCAGCTAAGACCCTACAACACAGAGGTCCTGTTTGCTCAGAGGTTACACTGAAGACCTCTTGGCAATTTCCATAAGAGATGAGGCTTGCTCAATTGTTTTTGGCCTAAAACCGCTCCTCCCACCACTTCTGTGCAGTGTGATGACTGACTGCTGTCCCTTCACTCCAGAGTTGGCCAAGTTTCAGCAGTGCTATAAAGGTGTCAATTGGGAAAGGCTTTGTGATACACATTAGAATGAGCGGTGCTACACATCAGATACTCAGCGAAATCCTGGCCTTAGGGAAATCAGTGGAAGTTTTCCATGGACTTCAGTGAAGTCAGGATTTTACGCACAATGTTTATCATCATTGTTCAAGTATTCTACAATAGTCCTTATTCCCAGAAAATATACTGATATTGCATCCACACAAGCAATGGGAGCATGTCCATGTACGTGATGGGGGAAGAGGGTTACAAACTTCCACTACTTTTCACAATTATTTTTTCCGTCTGTCTGTTGTCATTTAATCAGAGCTGGGCTTTTCATCCCCACCTTCATTTCAAGGGAAAACCTTAAAGGAAGTGTATGGAGTGAACAAGACCCATTCACATTCAATCCAGTGCCTCCTCTATGCTCCCACATGACACCAAGTGGAAACAGGGATCTCTACTGCAAAAGATTTTGATGGCTTCACATGAAAGTTGGCTTTGATTATTGTCATTCATAAAAATATTAGTTTCCTGATCGAGAGACGTCTTCTGTTTACACTCTGGTTTGCTTCTTTATGACTATACCAGGATGAAGGAGATTGTTTGCAAGGATAGGTATGGTTTATAATGAAAAAGCAGGATTTAACAGTAAATTTACTTTCTTCAGACTGCCTCCTTCCCAGTGAAAGCAGCTGAAGTCCTGACTTTAGCCTAATTAGTGCATCCTGACAAAAGCTGAACTCCATATAGATGTTGAATTACTTCTAATTCAGGTCAGATACCAGACTCCCCAAGCAGCCTTTCCATATATGGACAAGTAAAAACACACAAACCCTCAAACAAGCAGATATGAGGTCAGTGGACAGGCATATGAGCTCCAAATATGGTAGCTGAGCTCCCCGGCTTGCAATAGGACGTTTAAAAAGAAAGCAACAGCCACAAACCCTAGCTGACTGTAAGATCTCAGATCAGAACATAAAGCCTATTAGACCATTTACTTTAGAGCAGGGTTTGTACATTTTATAGTTTGCTTTGGGGAGTAAAAGTTTGACCCTTTAAGCGCACAGGGTTGAGTTTCTGAGGTATTTAAAAGGGAAAATAGCTACCACCGAAATATATAGAAGTCTAGCCATCAGAATACAGCATCTCAAAAGATGCCATTGAACTCTGTTGTGTAAATTCATATCTAGACAATTCTAAAGCATCTATTTACTCAGATTTTAGTGGTTCCTTTGTAGCCATTAAAATTCATTGTATGTCAATCCATAATATGGTGCAGTTCTATGTTTAGCTAGATATCACTTAAAAATCCCAACAGTTTATTTATAACATCACTTTAAAATCATCAGAGGGCTTAGTGTTAGGGCGCCCACTGCAGTAGTCTTGAAGAAGGCAATAATTTTACCCTGACTTCATCAGGAGAGCGGCTTGCCTGGAGACTGCAAGATTGAAAGCAATAATTATGGCTCAGAATATTGAGTCAGTGAAGTAGTTCAGAGACAGGATTAAAATCCTGATGCAAAGACTAAATATGAGAATGTTGCTGTGCATTAGCTGAAAAATCACTGCTAAAAATAAATAAAATGGACAGGTTAATACCACCTGGCGGAAGTAGTTCACATTACAGGCTAAGCACAAAAGCATTTTTCAACAGGCTCGCATCTGCCTCTAGAAGATAATGGAAGGGGAAAAAGGGAGGCAGAGAGGAGATTCTTCTCAGCCAAGTTATAAAGGCCTAAAAAAAAGTTTTTAAGTGATGCACTTTCTCCATAAATGTTCTAAAGCAGGGGTGGGCAAGGGCCACATCTGGGTATGGAAATTTTATGGCGGGCCATGAATGCTCACGAAATAGGGGCTGGGGTGTAGGAGTGGGTGAGGGCTCTGGCTGGGGGTGCGGGCTCTGGCGTGGAAGGGTTGGGGGTTCAGGAGGGTGCTCTGGGCTGGGACCGAGGGGGTTTGGAGGGCGGGAGGGGAATCAGGGCGCAGGAGGGGGTCACGGGTGCAGGCTCCAGGCAGCGCCTACCTCAAGCAGCTCCCAGAAGCAGCGGCAATGACCCCTTTCCCCCCCCCCCGGCTCCTACATGTAGGCGTGGCCAGGCAGCTTTGCATGCTGCCCCGTCCACAGACGCTGCCTCTGCAGCTCCCATTGGCCGCGTTTCCTGGCCAATGGGAGCTGCAGGGGTGGCGCTTGGGGAAGGGGCAGCATGCAGAGCCCCCTGGGTGCCCTACCCATAGGAGTCGGAGGGAGGATATGCCGCTGCTTCCAGGAGACGTGCGGAGCGGGACAAGCCCCCAACCCTGCTCCCGGCTGGAGCACCGGAGCGGGGCTAGCCCCCAACCCCGCTCCCCAGTGGGAGCTCGAGGGCCACATTAAAACATCTGGAGGGCTGGATGTGACACCCGGGCCGTAGTCTGGCCACCTCTGTTCTGAAGGGAATCTTGACAAATGCCAACCATGAACAGGAGAGTGGTCTTTATAACTGTGGGCTGAGAAGAGTACCTAATGTACTGTACTGGCCTAGGTGGAAGATCAGGGCATTTGCTTACTTTAACAAAAACAAAAAACCCTGGATTCTCCATAGGCTTAGCTATTAA